TACTTCTTCATGCTTTATTTTTCCCAAAGCAAACCAAACCATTGCCATTGAGTGAATTCGAACTTATAGTGGCTTTATAGGACAGTGTAGAACTTGTTTATGGGGTTTCCAAGGCTGTAAGTTTTTGTTTTTGCCATTGATTTTTCATATATAGCCTTTATTTTATTTTTATATTAATTTTATTTTAGTGGGGGCTCTTACAGCTCTTATCACAATCCATACATATATCCATTGTGTCAGACACATCTGTGCATGTTGTCATTATCTTTTTCAAAAATTTTTCATTCTACTTGAGCCCTTGGAATCAGCTCCTCATTTTTTCCTCCCTCCCTCACCTTCCTTCCCCCATGTCCTCTTGATAATTTATATATTTTTTCCCATGTCTTACACTAACTACTGTCTCCTTTCACCCACTTTTCTGCAGTCTGTCCCCCTGCAGTGGGAGCCATATGTCAATTAGTTGGGTTCCTCCCCCACTTCCCTTACCCTTACCCTTCTAGTGTTGCTGCTCCCCTATTGTTCCTGAGGAGTTTATCTGTTCTCTTTTCCTTTAAATTTGCAAGTGGCTTGTCAGTTTTATAAGTTGTTTCAAAGAATCAGCTTCATGTCTTGTTGACTTTTTTCCATTGTTCTTTTATTTTCCAGTTCATTTATTTCTGCTCTGTTTTTTATTTATTTTCTCTTGGTAGTTGAGAGCTTATTTTGTTGCTCTTGTTCAAGTCATTGAAGATTCTGGGTTAAGGTGTTGAGACTGGGTTTCTCTTCTTTTTACATGTGTGCATTGATTGCTGTAAATTGCCCTCTGATAACTGCGTTTGCTATGTCCCAAAGGTTTTGATAGATTATCTTTTCATTCTACTTTTTTTTGGAGGAAATTAACATTTTCCAACTGCTACCCAGTTGTTTTTAAATAGTGGGCTGTTCAGTTTCCAAGTTGTTTTCTGTTGGAGGATGTTCTTTCTATTAATTTCTGTTGTATAGCATTGTGATCTAAGAAAATGTGTTGTAGATTTTCAGTATTTTAACATGTATTAAGGCTTGCTTTGTGGCCTAACATGATGTCTAGACTAGAGATTGTTCTGTGTGCAGGGAAAAAATTGTACACTGTTGGGTGAGTGTTGTGTATGTCTAGGTGGTCAAGTTGGTTGATTGTGTTGTTTAGTTCTCTTGTCTTTATTGTGTTTCTTTCCTGATGATCTGTCTTTCCTCAAGAATGGTATATTGAAATCTCTTACTATTATTACCATAGTGTCTTTTCAGTTCTTTAAGAGTTTGATTAATTTATTTTGAAGGACTTTCTTTGGAAGAGTGAGGAGTATGAGTAATATTTCTAGTATGTTTAATATTGTTAAGTCTTCTTGTTGTATTGTTCCTTCAATCATTGTGTCCTTTTTGTCTCTTTTGTCTTGAAGTTTTATCAGAGATTAATATTGCCACTCCTGTTTGTTTTGGGGCGGTGGGTTGCCATTAGCTGGTAAATTTTTCTCCATTCTTTGACATTTATTCTATTTTTGTCTTTGTGTCTCCTGTAGGCAGTATATTGACAGGTATTCTTTTCTAATCCAGTCTACTACTCTTGGTTTCTTAATTGAGAGTTATATTCCTTGAAATTCTGTGTCATTATTAATACATGTGGGTTTGTGCTATCATTTTGCTGTTTGTTTTGTGTGTGTGTGACACTTTATTGATTTCTTTATTCTTCTTATAGTTCTGTGTTGTTTGTTCTGCTGTTGTTTATTCATTGTCCCAAATGTTCCTGTTCGTAATTTTTGTAATGCTGGTCATGTTTTTACAAATTCCTTTAATTTTTCGTTGTTTGGATATACCTTTATTTCTTCCTCGCATTTAAAGGATAGCTTTGCTGTATATAAGATTCTTTCTTGTCAGAACCCCCCCCCACACACACACACACACACACTTCCCATTTAGGATTTTGTATCTGTCACTGCATTTATTGCCTTCTTGTCTGCTTGAAAGGTCTGAGCTTATTCTTGATGGTTTTCCACTATATGGGACTGTGCTTTTTTTCCTTTAGCAGCTCTGAGAAGTCTCCTCTGTTTCTTAATATGGGAGGGTTTTCTCAGCTTCTTGAGTAGTCGTTTTCTCCACCTTTACAGTGTTGAGAAATCTTCTCCCATGATGTATTATTTTTTCTGTAGATTTTTTTGCTCGTTTGTCTCTTCCTGCTTTAACATCTTAATGGGACATAGCTTGTTCTTCTTGGTAGTGTTCCACATCATTCTTAGACTTTCTTCTGATTATTTTTCTCTCTTTGTTGATTGTTTCTCTTGACAGTTGTAGTTGAAAGAATTGTTTTCAAACTCACTAATTTGTCTTTCTATTTTTTCTATTCTATTACTCTGCTCTCTTCTTCTGGAATTCTATTTAGTCTAGTTTTTCTAGTTTTCTATTCTTCTCATTGTTCTCCCATACACTTCCTTCATCTGTTAAATGTACCTGAACACCATTCTTCTAAATTCTAATTCTGGTAATTCCAGAGCCAGGAGTTTTGGGGGCATAGTGGTTACAAGTGGGGCTGCAATCCAGCTGTTCCACAGGGAAAATCTGAGGCTTTCTGCTCCCATAAAGAATTATAGTTTTGGAAATTCACAGGGGCACGTCTATCCTGACCTAAGAGTTGTTATGAGTTGGCATTGACTCGATGGCAGTGAGTTTGGGTTTTGCTTTTTCTTCAGAATAATCCGTTGGGTTTGGGTCTGTGCACTGCAATTGACTGCTGTTTCTGTGGCATTGTGGCACAGCAACAGTGTTGGGTGGACTGCAAGGTTGCGTGGAGGCAGTTGACTCTGTTGAGTGATATAGAAGATTGATTGGAACCAGCAAACAAAAAAACGTAAGAAAGGAAGAAAAACAAGAGAGAAAAGGAGTGAGGAAAGGGGTCATAAAAAGACAAAAAATGTATCTAAATAATTTTAAATGCTTTTTAAAAAGGGGAAAATATCGATAGGTATAATAAAACATTTCAAGAAAAAAGGAAAATTTAAAAAAAGAAGAACAACAAGAGATGGTAGTAGGGTAATAGAAAAGGGTAAGCAACAACAACAAAAATCAGTGTGTTTTAGATCAGTCACTAAAAGGTCATAGGCAGTATTCTCACACGTCCTCACGTGTACAAATGCTAATATAAACAAGAAATATAGACTTGTTTTATCACACTGAATTTTTGTTTTTTTAAACTAGGAGAACAGAAGAGGAAGATGAGAAGAAACGTCTGTCTGGGGATATTCCAGGGCCCCTCCAGGGCAGGTAGGTGACAGTAAAGATAAGTATCTTTAGTTTGGTAGTAAATCTTTTTTCAACCAAGATTTTTACCATCTTGATTTATCATTTTAGTTTTTATGAGCACAAAGCAAATTTAAGAAAGTTAAGAGGAGTATACAGTGCCTTGATAGTGTAGTAGGTTACACATTGTGTTGCTAACCACAGGGTCTGCAGGAAAAAAGTGAGGCTTTCTGCCCCTGGAAACTTAGAGCCTCTGAAACTCACTGGGACAGTTCTACTCAGTCCTGCAGCCTCACGGAGTCAGAACTGACTGAGTGGCAGGGAGTATTTGCAGCATAACATTCGAAAATGGAAATGCCACTGGCTTGTTGGTGATAATGTTGAGCCTTTCTCCTCTTCCTTCCCCTTAAGGAATTTAATGCAACATTTGAATTTTTTGTCATTCCTGGATTATCATACTTAAAACTCCTTGAAATATGTTGCCCACTTGGTAGCATGAGTTTAATTGTGAAGGGTATTTTAATTTTATAAGATTTGTCATTTTTATTATATAGGAGACAAAAGCAACTGTATCCTTCTATTATTTCATTTGGCTAAGTCATTTAGCTTTTGGCAACTAAAGCAAAACGGTTAAGTCTCTGTGCTTTGAGCCAGCAGGGGAAGACCAGAAAAAGAAGAACATTTCTGATTAAAAATTTTACAGGGTATAATGAAAGTCTCAAACCATCAAAAACCAAATTCACTATCATCAAGTCAGTGCTGACTCATAGTGACCCTAAATTACAGGGTAGAACTGTACCCTGAGTTTCTGAGACTCTAACTTTATGATAATAGAAAGCCTAGCCTTTCTTGTATTGAGAGGCTGGTGGTTTGGAACTGCTAACCTTTCAGGTCATAGCCAACAACACATAACTAATATCCTTCAAATTAGGTTTTTTTTTTAACCAGGAAGCTTCATATAGGTAAATAGTACAACTCCCTTAAGTTGCCCTTTGACCAGAATATAAATATGTACAAAGTGGAGAAGGAAATGTATAAAGGAAACATCATTGCATGCCAACAACTGTCAAATCTAATACACCCAGATAGTAATACTTTAAAATATTTTAATATGGATGGTGTTGACTTCAAGCCTGGTGAGTTAGAATTGATTTGATAGCAATGGGTTTAGGTGTGAAATGCTTTCTATATTTTAACACAGAACCTAAATTCATGAAGTCTTCTCATCATAGGTCTGTGTCTTGTTTCACAGAATTTTCTGTGAAAAAAAGATAGTTGTAAGCACATCTTGAGTACTCAGAATGGCAGTATATTTAGACCACTGGCCAGTAGTGCTCATATTTTATAAGATGAAGAGCCAGCATTTATTGAATGAATAGTGTGCCAAGCACACTGACTGCATTCTGACAATAATTCTATAATATGAAGGCTTAATGACTTTAGCTAGCTTGTTCAAAGGCACCGGCTTGGTCCGCTTAGCTTGTCCTAATCTCTATACAGTGCCTCAAGACCAAGAGTCCCTCTCACTTGTCGGCGAGGACCTTGGGGAAAACAGGTTTTTATGGATTATTTGGACTGTGCTTATTTTGAAAGCGAGAACTTTAAATGTGTCATAGTTTCATTTGTGGAACGATATGTTCACATTGCATGTTACGGGCTACTTTGCTTATGTTACTACTTTAGCTATTCATATTTTTCTCATACATTTAAACTTTGTCTAACGAGTGTTTACTAACATATTTTGGGTTGAAGTAAATCTATTTACACTCCAAGCAGATTGCAAGTTTCCCAGTTGGGGAAAGGTAGAAATGGTACATGTATTGTATGTTTAAGGCTGTTAAGCTTATCAGACAAGACTCCATATAGAGGAAAACTAGATCATAAGAATGGCATTATGTTAGGCCAAGTTGTCTAGAAAAATACCAGTGACACTCATCTATGTACAAGAAAACTATATGTTAAGAAGCCACATTACATCAAGAAAGTGTCCTAGCCCAGTTCAACTCAAGTCCTTAAGTCTGATGCCTGCCCATAAGTCCCTCTTCAGACTCATGTAGATAGTACCACAAGGTGAGTCGGGAAGCCAGGTGATCACAGGCTGGTGGGTGCAGAGTCATGTGGATCCAAGGTCACTGGGAACATGGCAAGGCACTGGCAGCTCTCAGGGTTTGGAGACCCATCTGGGCCCTGTGACCTACATGGGCCTACACCTCAAGGCAGGCAGAGTTCCAGCAGGCTGGAAGGTAAAGGGGCAGAGAGAGAGATGTTCCCAGAGTTCTACACTCTTTTTTTTTTTTTTTAACTCTTTAAAACTTTTTCAACTTTTATTATTTGAGCTCTACACTCTTTTATAAAAGCCTACACCCCCCAAGGGAGTATCATCAAGTTTTACCACTTTGAGTGACAGGTTTAACTCCACCTTTAGTCATGCCACAGCATTATAGTATTCTTTTCTTAAAATGTGATACATAAACAATGAAAAATTACCACTTAATCATGTTGAGTATAATTCAATGGCATTCATTGGATTGACAATGTTGTGCAACTATCACCACTCCATTTCCAAAATTGCAGAAACTCTGTATTCATTAAGCAGTAACACCTTATTTCTTTGGCTGCAGGTTAGGCATTGGGCTGCTTACTAGGTCTGTGGTTCAAGTTCCCCAATTACTACAGAGGATAATGATGAGGCTTTTTGTTTCCATAAAGATTTACAATTGCAGAAACTCTGTATGAGGCACTGTAAATCTGAATTGACTTGATAGCAATTGATTTTAATCCTTGGAGTCCTGGTGGCATAGTGGTTACACTTTGAACTGCTAACCGCAAAGTCGGCAGTTCAAAACCACCAGCCATGCTAAGGGAGAAAGACAGGGCTTTGTACTCCATAATGAGTTAACAGTCTTCAGCCTAACTATCAGGCTGGATTGAACTCGGTGCTTGGCCAGTTGACCACCCTCTAGAGGAGACCTGAATTTGCTCTGAGTGCAAGTGTCTCTTACTGGTTCCATGACAGAAATTTCTTCCCGGCATTTTGAATGTTGCTGGAGGTCTTTTTCTTTTTACACATTATTTGTATTTTTGTGTTTATACTATTATGATTTTATCCTTAGCACCTTAGTGCGATTTTGTTTTTTATTGTTTTCTGTTGGGTCTCCCAGCTGTGATACATAATGAGAATAACTGATACAAGGGTATATAGAGAACAAAGGAGTCACAGGTGGGTAAAAGGGAGGGAAGGGGGATTTGGGAAGTAAATAATGAAGACGAGACGGGGAAGGGGGCACTAGAACAGACTGATTATACAACTCATTTTGAAGGCGATTTAACCATGAGGAGGGCAATGCTCTAAAATTGATGTGGTTATGATTGTACAATTCTCCGTGATATGATTGAATGATGGAACTATTGAACTGTATGATACGTAAATTATGTGCCAATAAAACTGATGGGAAAGAAAAAAAACAATAGTTAGTCTTGGTAACTTACAGAGGCAGTTCTGGCCTTTTTTTTTTGAGCCACTCATCTACTTTATCTTTATGAATTTGCCTGTATTCTGGGTGGGATTATACAATATATGTCCTTTTATGTCTGCCTTGAGGAGCCCTGGTGGTGTAGTGGTTACGCATTGAGCTGCTATCTGAATGGTCACAGTTCAAAACCACCAGAAGCTCTGAGGAAGAACGACTGGGCTTTCTACTCCTGTAAACAGTTAGTCTCAGAAACCCACAAGGGCTCGCTGTGTGTGAGCACTGACTTGGTGACCACAAGTTTGGTTTGGGTTTATGTCTGCCTTAATCACTCAGCACATGTTTTTAGAGTCTATTGGTATTGTAGCATGTATCAAAGCTGCATTCCTTATTATGGTAGAATCTTATTGTATGGATAAGGACATATTTTGTTTATCCATTTGCCTGTCTATGGAAACTTGGGTGGTTGTTAGTAATGGAGTATTGTTGTTTCTTCTCTGGTCTTCCAGCACTGTATAAGGGCTGGTACTCTTACCGCATGCTTATTAAGTGGTTTTTGCCTTGTCCTAAGATCAGTAGTGCTAAAGCAATGACATTTTACAAATCAAACTTATGTAGGTAGATGATTTATTTCTCACAGGCAAAGTTCCATTCAGAATTCAGTTCATAATTTCAGAATTATTTTTAAAATATCTATACCATACCTCAAAACATATTCCTTCTTCTATTACAAAAAGTAAGGATTTTATCGAACCGATTTGGATGGGCAGAACAGTGGGAGAGTGGGTGTGTGTGCTATTTCTGTCAATCCATCAATTCTTTATTTTGCAGTGGACAAGATATGGTGCGCCTCCTCCAGTTAGTTCAGAATCTGATGCACGGAGATGAAGATGAGTCGCCCCAGCGTTCCCGGTAATGAGAGCGGTTGCAGCTTCTCCTTGAAAGCTTGTGATTTTAATGCCAGTGGTGATTACATTCTTATAAGTTGCTTAAATAATACATTAAGAGTTACATATTTCATATCATATATAATCTTGTGACTTTTACATAATCCACATTGTAACATGTTTTATACATTATTTTTATATTTTAATCTATATGAGGAGATTTCAAAAATTCATGGGAAAAATGGAATTAAAAGATAATGGGATTTTTCCCACAATCTTTTTGAAGCCCCCTTCTGTTTTTTATATGTATATATTCTGTCATACTAAAACTAGAATCTGTCCTTTTTGTAGTATTATTTCTGAGAGTTGGGAAAAGTACCAAAAATTAATTGCAGCATTTTCCTGCTTCTTTTATGATTGCTAAGAATGCCTGCTGCTGACTTGATGGGGTGGGAGCCCAAGTTCTTGGCAGATCATCCATTGATGTGGATCATCTTTTTATGTAGTTTCATTTTCTCTAAATCATTTTTTCAAGTTTAAGTTAAAAATTCTTTAAGCAGCATAAACCCTG